TGCATGCACTGTTGCTGATTTTTCTGGAGCCTAGCCCAATTTGAAGGATATTTTTCTTTGCAAATGTGAAGAAATGTCAAATTTGAATTGTTTAATGATTCTTGGGGGATGCCATCAGGACCCGCGTGTCAAGATACCCTAGAATGCTTCTTATAATTAAATCTTACTTGTTCATTCTACAAATCAGCATTGAAACAAGAGTACAAGATAGTACCCAAGAACAGTAAGAGCTTCTCTGTATTGCCATAACTAGAATTATTATTAAAATAAAATTGTAATTGTAGGCCGATAAAAATGCAATCCATCTGAATTTAGTATTCAAATTTTGTCAGTTACTTTTTTGAGAAGAATAATTGACTATAGCAGTGATGGTTAACCTTTTTGGTGCCTAGTGCCCAAAGCGTGAACGTGTGCCCCAATCCCAAAAATGCAATGTGAGTGCCTCCTGTGCATATGCCCCCCCCCCTGCATGTGCCCTGCCCCCACGCCCATTTTGGCTTCAGGTTGGTTCAGGAGGCTTTCCTGGGCAAAAGGGGACACAGGGTGGCCTTGCACATCCTGTTTTGGCTTCCATGTTGGTGCGGGCGGCAGAAATGGAGTAGAAAGATAGGGCGTGGGGACTTATAGAGGGGACCTCTGGATATCAGGAAAGGCACAGGTGGCAAAAAGGTAGGGTGCACTGGGGGGAACCTGTGGAGATTGGGAAAGGCCCTGCCCCCCTGTGCATGCAGGGCAGAGACCTGAAGACCAGCTGGCCAGTGGGAGGCGCATGTGTATACATGGTGGAGGTGGGCTGGGGCAATGGCTGGTGTGCCCACAGAGAGGGCCACCTGCTATAGGTTCACCATCACGGGACTATAACATAGTGCATCAATTGTCCAATGATACATTATTGACTTTTAAGTAATTTTTGATTTAGCAGCTAAGAGTAAATAGTATAATAAGTACTCTTTTTAAATTTAGAGTTAGCACCCTAAAAGTATTTAATATATGTAAACCTAATTTTGATGTGTAATGTATGTTTTTAGTTATTATTCTGACTTCTTCAAATACTTCCTTTCTAGAATATCTTCATTTGTTTATGTTATTCTGTTAGAAAAACTATTGGGTATCTGTTCTTCATCTAGATATTGGCATCTGCCCTATTCTAAATTTGATTGTAGGCTTTTCCTCAGAGATAAATGTAAAAGCAGCTGTGTCATCTTTTTTTGATGTCATGTGACAACTCCTCTCTCATACAGATTTAGCTTGTTCCAAAAAATTGCCTGATAACGAGTAAATCTAAATATCTTGTACAAGCTTGACCAAATGTGGGGACCACTGTGCTCGGTCTTTGTGGTTGATTTTCTGTGTGGAAGAAATTGTATTTCTCACAATACTATCTTGGCAGTCCTGGACTTTAGTCATCTACCTAGTAGCTTAAATTAGTTCCAGGGCGGTTTACTTAGTTTTTTAATGTTGTTAATGCTAATGTAAACCATGGCTACTACTTTTACCCCAATATTATCCACATGTGCATGACAAACCCAACTCATCCACAATCAAAAGTTGTCTTCTTATTATCATAGATAATAATTGGGCTCATTGCCTACAGAAAATATATTATGCCATCCTTAACTCTTGTTCTCCATGACCATAAGGGAGCTGTCATTCTGAGACTAGGACAAAGCTGTCATATCCCAGGAGGTTTCATCCACATACTTTCATGGCTGTCTAATATCTGCAGTGGTTTCAAGAAAACAGATTAGCTTCAGGAATGCAGGAATGAATCATGACTTGTACTTATCTGGCTGATATACATTCAACTCTCTGTGGAGTAAACTGTAAAATATCTTCTCCATTGGCTTTTTATCTTCACCCTACTTACTGTTAATAACTTCGATTCTTTTTCTTTTAACAACTGTTTTATCCTATGTTACACTTTTACAGAGTCTGTAATCCTGTTTTCCTCATGTCATTTCTAAATTCATCTTGCTACTTAGCTTTGAAAGTATGTGCTTCATCCCCCTTTTAATTTTGTCATAACATTCTCCCATTCCTATTAACTTGTTCTGCTTCCGAGCTTCAAGTATTTCGCCGGGACTTCTGATTGGCTAAGGAATGCTACAAAGCCAATAGCCAATCTCTTGATCAGTGACTTAGCTGTAATCCCCTCCTCTCAGTCCATGTGCTCAGAGTGCAAGTAAACACATACCCAGTCAGCAACGGAGGGGATCAATCTTACTCAATTAACAAAGACCCTTCCTTACAAATAGTTGATCAGCTCTCCATTTCACTAGCTTCCTTACAAAACTGTTTCTGTCCTGGTGATGAGCTGCCAACTAGAAGGGTTATAAAATCATAAAGAGTGCAAAGAAAGAAAGTAAATATAAAGTATATTACTTCCCCTCCAGCATTTGTTTTTTCTTAGTCATCCAGTAAAGTTGATTATGATTAGAGTAATAGTAGTTACAATAGTAGCAACATTCTTATTTCCTGGACACTTATATAGAACATAGTACACGTGTGTGAGTGTTTGTGCCAATATCATGTGCTACACCTGATAAGAATAGTTCTAACTTCATTAACTCTTGCAAAAAAGAAGTCTTTTAAGGGAAAACAAAAATGTGTACTTCATGAAATTTGTTGTCATTTGTTGTCACAGAATGTTGTCTTAAAAATTAAAGTGATTTAGAAAATAGGCATGGTGAATGGTTCTTGACAGTCACAGAATAGAGATTCAGACTTGAATCTTACTGGGAACACGATGCCTCAGCATAATTTTTCGGTTGCAGTCTCTTCTCCTTGGCGCCTCAATCAAAGCGATGGAAGTAGATTCTAAGAGACCAGCTGCACTAGAGTCCTTTTGCCTTTCAACTGTTCTATTTCAATAGGTCAATACTAGAATTACTATGTAATTATGATTATGTACTATTATGTCAGGACTGACTCTTAGTAACCTCATAGGTTACTTTTTCCCCAAGAAGCCTTCCCTCAACCTGGTCCTTCTGAGTTTCCAGCATAGCACCCACTACTGCTCCAATTGAATCCATCCACCTTGTTTCTGGTCATCCAATTTTCTCTTCTACCTTTGCAGTATTAAGGACTTCTATAAATGTTTGTATAATGTACCCAAATATAATAAGTAGAGCTAGAAAATCCTGGATATACATTCAAGACCACGCCATGGAAACTTTCTTTTTCTGCAGTTAGCTTAATTTGGATCTTGCATGCAGTTATGATCACATCATGTTTTATTTCACAGTTAGCTCCTGGCCATCTTTGTTCTTATAACTAAGCAATTCCATCACCTTGTAAGAATAATACAGTCAATTTGATTTCTCTGTATTTCATCTAAGTTATGTCCATCATAGATAGATATCATAGAACTCACTGGATTGACTGAAATTGTTAAATTATTCTCTGTTTTTATTTCTTAGGCCATAAAATTCAATTATGTTTTCCTCCTTAATATTTCCAATGTTGGCATGCTGATCTCCAACCACAAACAACTTGCTTAAATATTCTGTTAATTTCAAATTGAACTTGACCATAAACCTTACCAGCCTCCTCTTCTTATGAGTGCTTAGAATATAACATGAATAACCATCATATTAAAAAAAACCTATTTACAAAGTCTAATAGTATTATTGCAAAATTCATTGTATTATATCCAAGTAGTATCTTTGCTACAGCCTTCATGACAGTGAAAGCAATGCTGTTCTTTCCTTGGTTTTGATGTCTTGAGTTACAGTAAAAAAATGTTTATCTTGTAAGAATATGATGTATCAGTTTGGCTGTCAGCCTCTGCTTTGCTGCTGCTTCGGCTGCCATTGAAACAGGGAGGGGGGGGCATGGTATTTGGGAGGGGACTAACTGTTGTGCTGGAGAAAGATTCTGGAGTTTGAACTGTCCACCTTACTGCGCATGCGGAGGAGGTTTCCCGCCAAGGCCAACGGCACCGGCATTCCATCCTGGTGATGCCTTTCGAAGTTATCTCACACCTGACACTTGGGAGAATTATGATTGGACTGCACATGGGATGCCAAGGGGAGGGGAATGAATTATACAATATATTATTCGCTTTCGCGCCTAAATAATCAGACTTCGCTTTGCTTTGCTTCTGTTCATTTATAATTAGTAAAAGTACACTTGATTTCTATCAATGGAGTCTTGTGGTTTTCTTTCCCGATTATCCAATGAAGGAGTGCTGACAGGCTTTCTTCTCCTAATCCCTTTTTCCTTTTCCTTTTTGTCTCTTAATTCAGAAATCAACAGGTTTTTTTCCCAATGAAAGGCACATTAGCTCCTAAAGAAAGAAGAGTCTTACAAGATTTTGGCACTTTCATTGAGGTCTTGTAATAATTATGAGATTCTCACTTTCACTAATTTTTAAAATTTCACTTAAATTTTAATGCCAGGATACTATGGACACTGCTTATAATGTAGGCTTGTGTATAGTGAAGGTTTAATGTATCATATAGAAACTATAGATCATATAGAAACTGTATTGGGATTTTTAAGGCAAAGAATAGGATAATGTTTTAAAAATAAGCTAGTACAAACTTTCTAAATGTATAGTTGATTGTTAATAAGCAGGGGATTAGCAGAGCAGGATCGGTAATATTGTGTATTTTACTGTGTTCACATCCTTTAATTCTGCCAAATGTACATTATATGCTCCTTTCTAAGCCAGTTTTTTTTTTTAAATCTCCTTGGAATCTTTTGAACAGTTTTCAGAAATGGTTAAATGGTCGTTTTATCAAAACAACTGATAAATTGTAAAAGGTTGAAATTTTCACTTGTTTTTCCTAGTATTGACACTGACCCATGAAGTTGAGACTCTCAGGCTCTTCATTATCTTTTATCTCATATCTTACAGGATTGTTAAATCAAGGAAGTTGGGAATTTTTGAACAATATGTGTTCTAGCTTACAATGCAAAGTGAAGAAGTCTATGAGCACACTTTGACATGGAAATTTGGGGATAGATATAAATGGCCTTGTTCTCATGTATTTCAGAGAGTTACTCTACTGCAGCCATTGCTGTGAAGTTGTAGCTTCACCAGTTTTCAAGATGCATCTGGAAGTCTTTTTGAATTGCCAGTCCCAATCAAAGTCCACAGTAAAAATAAAGGTATTACAAGAACAATATTGTTCTAATTCAGTATTTTATTATCTGCTCTAGGTGAAGAAAGATATATATTTTTATACTCCCACCTACCTGTGTTGGATACCACAGTTATGTTTCCCAGAGCATAGAGAGAGCAGGTGTAAAGCAAGCAAGCAAATAGGCAAACAAATATTCTAGATAATCTGTGGTAGAATTAAATACAGCTATTACTATGTGTAAGGTCTTGACCAAGAATTTTTTTCCCTGTGAAATTAGATAACAGCTAGTAAGTAATAAAATACTTATATCTTAGGGATACAAACTGAGTACATTATTGTTTTCATAATTATAATACTTTATTTTTTCTTTGTTACAACAGCTATTACAGAAGTCTATTTCTTCACTTCTAGAATCAGCAACTGTGGATGATGGGGTATGTGCACTTAAAATAATTGAAGTTCTTATGATAACTCCCCCCCTCCCCCCCAAAAAAAACGTTGGTGCCTTTTAGATGTATTAGTCCTCATCCTCAACCATTTACAGCTAGGGTTTATAAAGATGCAGATTCTGGATAACCTGTTCCATTTGTAATATTTCGACTATATTGGCATATGAATAAAAATATAATTATCAAGTGGGTGATCTAATGTTCTATTTAAATTCCTGGAATACTTTTGTAGAAAATTTGGCTTTCAGTTAAGTGGTTCAGGGAAATTTTTATTTGAATTTATTTAATAAAATTATTTCTCATAACTGTGAGGATTACATGGGTTTGGAGCAGTAAAAAAGCAAATAAGGAAAAAAAGCCCTTAAGAACTTTCTTTACTAAAGAGTGTTCAGCGGTATGTTGGCTAGGACAAAATGTACAAGATTATTTGTTTCAATGACTGTGCTTTATCATTGCAGAGTTATGAAGTAACGAGTGTGCTGAGGAAAGAGGTGGGGTTTTTGAATTGTTATGTCCAATCTGTAACCAGCCACCCATCTAGTTGTATTGGATTGGAAGAAATTGTTCTTTCGGAGGCCTGAAAGAACTGAAGGGAACATTGTCTGCTTCTGTCTATGATTTTTGTAACATATTTGTAGCTCTACTGTTCTTCCATGCTGCTTTTGAAACAAAACTCTAGTACCTTTTTTTAAAAACACTCACATGAACCATGGACAAATCTCAATTCAAGTGCAATTGTCATTTCAATGAGGAGTTAAATGCACATTCTTAAATCTTTTCTCATGAAATTAATGGAATTCATACACACAGATGTCTGGTCCTCATATCATAGCACTCAAAGGAAACTTATTTTTTCCAGCAGTTGTTTTGTTTTGTTTGTTCTGGAGGTTATATTTTGTAATGAGTTCAGGGCTTGAAATAATTTTTGACTAAATGTTAAAGGTGAGTTTTTGAAAGATTTGAAATTAACTTCTAAGTTGTTAATTTAGAGATACATTTTCTTAATTGACTCACATATAAATACTATTCAGGATTTCATGTAGGATAATTGTTCAGATACAGTATGTCTGACCTGATGTACCATGTATTTTTTATCATTATAATTAAATATTATGAAAGAAGAGTACGTGTGGACACAGGCATTTGTACATCAATAATCATTATTTAAATAAGGATTTATTTATAACTTGTATTTTTTAAACCTTTCTATAAAATAGATTAATATATTGTAATTAAAATAGTTATACCTTCTACTTGTACATTTCGATTTGTGGATGAAATTATTTGATACTGAAACACTGCAATCAGTATCGGATTCAAATTCCTGCAATTTCTTTTAGACGGAACTTGGCATGCATGGGATTTCCTGTTATTTGCATAAAATATTCCCATACTCAGCAGCTGGATGTGGATTTTTGTGTTTAGAAGATGTAGTTGTGAGGACAGATGTGGGGGCAGGGACATAGAGGGATCTGGGATCCTATATTGTATAGACTTTCATACACACACACACACACACACACACACACACACACACACACACACACACACACAC